CAAACCTGACTTACCAGATACTGACAGGATGATTGATTTACTCCACTCTGTTGAAGAATACCAGTCATCTCTGCTTCTACACTGACATGTGTATTTTCCACTGCTGGACTCAGAAACATTAAAAGTCCAGTCTTTACTGTGTGTGCTGTGTATAACAGAACCAGATCTCCTCCATTCATACGTCCACTCAGTGCTTTCTCCTCCCTGGACCTCACATGTCAGAGTGATCGTCTCACCACTGAACATCTGAGAGCTGTTTGGTTTTTGAGTCACAACAACCTTGTTGGAAACTGTTTCCAGAAAGAAATAGAAACATAATAAATACTGTAACACAGAGAATACAGTTAAATTAGAAAAATAGATTTTACTGATTACAGGTTATTGTGATTAAACTAAGAAAGATAGCAAATATTTGATTTAGTAGATTGAGTTGCTCATAGTTTTCATCAACAAACTCACAGGTTATCTCCACAGGGACCCAAGAGCTTGAATGTGTGCAGATCTCTGGGTTTCCTCTCACTCCATAACAACCGTAGATTCCTCCTTGTCTCACAGTGATTTCTCTGTTTTCCTCATTATTTGTTCTGACTTCAACTTCAGAGGTGTCTGAGGTCCTTCTGAACCATCTGTACCTCCATCCAGCAGAGGGCTCCACAGTGCAGCTCATTGTCACACTGCCCCCTACTGGTATGGTTGATGGACCTGCTGTCAGTTTGGCTGTGGGTTTATCTGCTGTTATGAAAAACAGAAAAGTAGTTGATTTCATAAAGACTTTAAACATTCAAAATAAAAAGTAATGTTCTTGTTAGGAAAGTTAAAATGGAAAAATAAATAAAAGTTTAACTTATCCTTATTTTTAAAATAAAAACAAAATAAATCAATTAATTATTTCTTTTTTTTTCATATTAAAATTTTATTCTTATTTCTTAAAAATTCCTGTATTTCTCATTTCTTACATGATTATATTTTTACAGGAAACTAGATTGAGATCCCTTTGATTTTTGTATTTCTTTTGTTATTTTTCTGACATACAAATTTGCATGATGTTATAGAGCTGATATTTATTATAAACTGAGTGATGTTTTTAAATTCTGGAGGCTTACCTGAAACAGTTATAGAGATAGTATCACTGCACTTGGGTTGATATGTGCCGATTCTGGAACCACAGCACTGATATTCACCACGGTTACCCATTTGGAGATATTTTACTGTGTAGCTTTTATCTATATTGTAGGGGACAAGTTCTCCTCCATTCCATAATATACTGTAATTCCAGTCAGTTTCTGCTCCTTCATTCATGTCACAGATGAAAGTAACAGACTCTCCACTATAAAATGTCGACCAGTTGGGCTGAATTATCAGCACAGGATCTACAGTAGAACCAGCATTTAGTTCACATCTGTTCTGGTTTATAATAGATATTAACAACTAACATTAAAATGACAAAAAAGAAAAATACAAATTATATAAAGGTTAAAAGCTGAAGTTACCTTGAGTTTGTCCAGAGCAGAGGAGAGTGTTCAACACTGGAATAAAATGTGAAAGTTGATAAAAGTCTAATCATTAAATTAGATTATTTTAGAATTACTTTCCCACCATATCACTCATCACCCACTATTGTTGTGTTTGATAAATTCAAACATTGCTAAAAAAGATAACATTTAAATGTT